TCGGTGATTCATTCTGCTAACCAGTAAGGCAACCCCGCCAGCCTAGCCGGGTCCTCAACGACAGGAGCACGATCATGCCTGGCACGACAGGTTTCCCGACTGGAAAGCGGGCAGTGAGCGCAACGCAATTAATGTGAGTTAGCTCACTCATTAGGCACCCCAGGCTTTACACTTTATGCTTCCGGCTCGTATGTTGTGTGGAATTGTGAGCGGATAACAATTTCACACAGGAGGAAAAAACCATGGTCGACTTAATACGACTCACTATAGGGCCTTATGGGCCCGGTACCCGGATCCTCGAGAGCTTAGCCGTCGTTCTGCAGCGTCGCGACTGGGAAAACCCCCGTGGCCTAGGTTTCTCACTGAAAATCCTCGTCCCCCGGCGGCACCTTTTTTTGAATTTTCTTCCTTTTCAACGCCGTTTTTCGGGGATTACGGATTTTCTTTGAATTTTTTCGCAATAATATTCTGAAAAATAGATAAATTTTAACACATTTTAATGCAAAAAAAATTTTTGGTCGGAGTCCCCCTTTAAGTTCACCCAACACATAAACAAATCGGTTGCTGTTTCACTTCTCCGATCCAAACAACTTTTGAAATCTTTCAAATCCACCAACCCCTCTTTCTACCTTCACTTATTCAGAACCTACGTACTCCCCTCTCTTGAGTACTGTTCAGTAATCTATTCTCCTCCCCCCAATTCCAAACTCTCTCAAAAACTCGAATCCCCACTCCGTTTCTTAACCCGTAAAGTCTTCCAGAAATGCAATATCTCATACTCTTCTTATCAAGATCGTCTCTCCCAACTTGACCTCTTCTCTATCAGACATCGTAGACTTAAATCTAAACTTATGCTTCTTTACAAAATGATTAGTGACGCCTCTTATATGCCAGAATTATCCTCTTTCTTAAGAATTTCCGACTGTCCTAGGAGACCTATGACCCTTTTTCTCTCAGATAAATTTTCCGATGACTTCTTTTTCACCACCGCCCCTATTTGAAATGCAATTGTAAGGAATACTCCCCAATTTTTAACTCCCGGTCAATTTTCTACCTTAATCCAATCTTCCATCACCCGGTTTTAGTTTTCTGCTCACCTTTTCCCTTTTTTTTTAAAATATCTTGTCAACCTTACATGTTTACCATTTTCTTCCCCATTCTCTAGGTTCATCTCGTTAGGGATTTTATCTAGAACTCCCGTTATAACTTTTGTGCCATATGTTCTTCTGATCAATAAATTATCTTTACTTTACTATAAAGATTTGCCATTAGTTGTTTTAAAGGCGCATAATTTGTTTCCGTATTGTAATTTTAAAAATGTGTAAAAAGCATATTGTAGAACTTGAAAAGTTCTACAAAATGATATAAAAGTCAAATAGTTCTATAATAACACTTTTATCAGATAAGCAAAAATACAACTGAGACTGCAGTGTGAGTAGTCCCATGTTGTTTGGCTTGGGTGGAGGAACCTATACAAGCTAACTATTTGAGATTTATATAATTTTGTAGCCCTTTCAAAGTTCTATATTTTATATTTTACTTCATAAAAAAATATTAAGCTTGAACAGAGTTATGAGCTATTTTGTAAACCGTTTAGCCACTTTGAATCGATGTTAATGAAGATTTCCCATTAGTTGTTTTAAAGGCGCATAACTCGTTTCAATTTTGGAAATTCAAAATTTTGTAAAAAGCATATTGTAGAGCTTAAAAAGCTCTACAAAATGATATAAAATTCAAATAGGTTCAAATAATATTTTTATTCATCAGTTATACTGAACAATAGACGAAAAATCGGTGAACAGTTGCTTAACATTCGGCTGCTCATGAGCTAGATACGGTAGCCAGATATTTCCAAATTCCATGAAGCTGGAGTTGATGAGATGTAAGATTCCCAATATTTCTGTAAATCTTGTTGGTCCATTTTTTGAATAGTTATGAAGGCAATATTGCAAGAGAGCATTGTTGAACATTTTTTGATATTGGGAGATGAGGTCACGGCTGGCTGGCTTTAGTTTTTGGTTGGCTGAAAGATTCAGTTTATAACTTGTAGATCTTGATGGGATCTACAGAATGGTGCTTAATTTTACTATATTAAAATTCCGAGTATCAAGCCGGACCGATGAATTTGGTTCCGGCTAGCGCCTAGCCCATAACTTTCAACTTTGAGCTCATTTATCTCGTTTCCTGTAGAAGATATCAAAAAGTAATCAACTGACGAAACATTTCTAATAACATGATAAACATTTTATCAGTTAAACACTTTTCGATATCTTATACAGTAATCGAAATATATGGATTAAAATTAGTGGGGTCCCCTATCTTACAGGTTTCCTAATAGCTATTTTTCTGCCTATCTCGAAAACTACTCAACCAAATCCTATGATTTTTGTATCACAATTATCACAAGAGAATTTTCTATGAACTGGTTTTAATTTAAGTTTAAAAAACCTATTGAACTTGTTTCATTTTTCTAGAGATTTTCAGTTTACATTCATGAATTCTGCATTAGGAGGGTTTTTTAATACTTTCAACTTTTCGCTAATGTATCTCGCTTACTGTGAAAGATATCAAAAAGTTGTCGACTGATAAAATGTTTGTAATATTAAGATAAACGTTTTGTTCGTTTACCACTTTTTCGCTTCTTTCAAAGGAAGCAAGAAAAATTAGCTCAAAAATTAGCGCATGATTTAAATGTTCACGGAATGATGTTCATTGGAGCGCATTTGCTTATTCCATAAAAACTTATCCGTAGTCGAGTTAAATATCATTCTATAGATATTTTCAAGTTTTACATTTTGCACTATAACTCGCACCGTAATTCCAACTTTGGACCAACTTACAAGGATCACAAATCACAATAGCGCCCAATAGCAGAAACTCCTCGTTAGTGATTTTCAGCTCACGAAGTCTAGCCAGAAGCTTACAACGAACCGAGGCGAGAAGATGCAGATTGTTCTGAAAACTGTCTATGAATCGATAAACCAAAATACCTCGTATCACCTGATAATACTTTTTGACCTCATCGGGAAAGACATCAACACCGCCGGGATACTCCACCACGTTTCCTGCATTCTTCAGATTTCTAACAGCGTTGATGAGGATAATGAACTTTACGTAGTTTCTTTTGATGAAAAATGGGATCTCTGTTTGGGCATTCAACTGGCCAACAAACTCGAGTTTCTTCATTAAATCGATTGCTGAAATCTGATCCATTGTTGCCCAATCATAAAAGTCCAGATTCATTTTTGGAGTTCTTCGAACCAAATGTTGCTTGTGGAGAGGTTTAGAGATCAGCGTATCTAAACTGATATTCTCCATGGAGACCCGGGTTCGGAAAAGCGTGTCTCGACAAATGTCCAGAGCCTTGAGACCCGAGATAATTGTGGCCATATTAAATCCGGGAGGGGTTGGAGGAGGCGAAGGAAGAGCCGGTCTCTCCTGGGTATGTATCATTCCTGCGCTTCGAATATTTTTGAGTCGACAAGAGGGACATTTTCTTCCTTCAGGGTTACAGTTTCCTCCGGTTAGGCATGGCTTTGGATCTACATTATAATGACGACGGAAGAAAGATACGCACGCGAGGCAGGCGTATCCCTGGAAATTATGGAATCGAGAACTTTGAGCCCATATATCTCGTTTTCTTTAGGAGATTGGCAAATGTGGTCAACTGGCAAAACACTTTTGATATTATGATAAACAGTTTATCAGTTAGCAAATTTTTGATATCTTTTACAAAAACCGAGATAAATAGGTTTGAAGTTTGCAGTTGGTTGCTCAAGCCGCCTGGCCGGAGAGCGCAGATAAGCATGAGCGGAGGCTGTCACTTTGAGCTCATATATCTCAGTTCCTATGGAAGATACTGAAAAGTGGTCAACTACCAAAATGCATAATATCAAAACCATAGTATCAAAATCATTTTATCAGTACTTTTTGATATATGTCACAGGAACCGAGATAAATTGACTCAAAGTTGAAAATGTGCTCTACTGATAAGCGAGATGATGGGGGATGAAAGTCTGGAAAGTCAAATTTATGGGAATTTTAAAAAATATTCATTTTGATGTTTGTTTCAAAATTTTTTCTAGTCTACTTCTGCATGGAGCTTGATTACCAAAACAGAAAAAAATTGTGATTTCTGATGTTGATCTAGATCTGTGTAGCTGCAAACACACATTTTGCATAAGAAGCTGAAGATTATAAAATACAAAGTTCAGGCGCGGATTGTGTCAAAGCATGTAGATTCTATCGGAAGCATTTTTATAGATTTAAGTATTTTCAGAAATAAAAAAGCATATTTTCAAAATTCAAAGAAAAAACTTGCTGCTGAGCTACGCAGGGCAATGTTGATCGAAATAAGTAAGCTCGACGTTGGCCCGTCGCTGAGATCAGCCTCCAATGCTTGCGACTTGATTATCTGGGATACTGTAAGAGATATCAAAAACCTGCCCACTGATAAATTATTTATCTAAATTTCACCAATATTTTATCAGTTGAAAAATTTCTGATATCTCTTATAGGAACCGAGATAATTGGGATCAAAGTTGGCGCGTCGTTGAGCTACGCCCTCGACCTTTACGCTTGTAACTTTTTGCCTGTATCTCGGTTCCTGTAAAAGATATCAAAAATTTATCAACTGATAAAACGTTTATCATAACATCACCAATATTTTATCAGTTGACAAAATTTTGATACTTTTTTTGGGAATCGAGATAATTGGGCTCAAAGTGCAAATTAATGTGGCATTGCTAAAAAAACTTACCCCATAGAAAAACTGAACAGCCTTTCCATTTTGTCCTCTGCAAACGGGACATTCATTAACGACAGGTGGTTTTAAGAGAGCCCAGCTCATAGTGAGGTAGAATGTGCAAAAAATAAGGAGTCAGACTGAGCTTATATAAAGGGGCGTAGTCTAAAGCTGGGAAGAAAAAATAATGTAGTTTGATAAAGGCTAGAGAAAGATCACTTTCTAATTAGAGCGAGAGGATTTGCATTCCTATGTGAAATTTAGAAAAAAAGAGAATCTTGTGACTTCTCTAATTAGAGATTTGAGTTTCTATAGAGAGATCTCGAGAGGATTAACAGAGTCTGGAAGCAAAAAGAGTGCAAGAAAACAAAATACGGATTTTGTGATTTTGGTTTGAAAAATGAAAACTTGTGTTTTGTGATCAGGATCTAGAGCTACGAGCTGAAGGTCTAAAATTTCCGACAAAAACAGACAAAAGACTCAAAAAAGAGGATTTTCAAGACCCGAAATTCGAGTTTCTGATAATGGAGAAGAAATGGAAAAAGAAAAAATTCTAGACAATTTGTGAAATTTCGAAAAATTTGGTTCATTAGAAATAGAGACCTACCAAAGACATAAGGGTTACGGTAGGTGTGATTGCAGGCTTAAAACAAACTCAGGCTGAATTGAAGTAGCTTAAGACAAAGTTAAAACAAGCTTAATGCTAGCATAAAGCTAGCTCGAGTAAAGCTTAAGGCAAGCTCAAGGCCTTGAGTCTAGCTTAAAGATAGCTTAAGACAATTTTAAGAAGCTTAAGCCAAACTTTAGACAACCGTAGGTAAGCTAAAGGCTAACTCAAAACAAGCCTAATACTAGCTTAAAGCTAGTTTTAGGCTAATTCAGTGGCGAAGGACCCCCAATATTACGGCCAGAGTTCAGCTCTTGAAGATCAACCCATGCTTCTCTATTTTTAGGTACATCAACTTTAAAGGCGCATATCTCAAAAACTAGAGAAGATTTTAAAAACTTATCAATTGCAAAAATGTGTAAAATTGTATTGTCTACATGTTTGTAATTAATCACTTTATTCTAGTATCATTCGTTTTGGAGATATGCGCCTCTAAAACTGACATGCTTGATATGCCTGAAATTGACAACAAAGAAATAAAATTCAAAAATCAGCTCTAGAAAGATGTGAAACTAATCCATTTACAATAAGTTAAGAATTTGACAATGTGAGTCATAAAATTCGGGACCTTTTTATGGTCAATTTTCACAGCCCTGGTTTTATTATGGACTAATATTGCCTTGGTTTCCCCAGGAGCTCATCGGAGCATCGATAAGACCCCTTTAAACCTGAAAACTTGATTTTTCTTGTTTTTTCTGAATTTTTCGGTCCTATGATTTCTGCACTTGAAACCTAAATCTGATTTTTTGGTTGCTATCCTTTAGAAATTCCAAAAATGTAAGAATTCTTGGAATTCCTAGCCCCAAAGGTCTCAGGACATTTTGAACAGAATCTCGAGAAACTTGAACTTTTCTGACCAATTCCATTAAAAAATTTTTTTCAATAACAATTTTTCAACTATAAATTCCAATTGTTACCCTTTTATCACATGCCCTCACTACACCTGTTTCTCTGCGTCTCTCTTTATCGCTAGTTTTTTTCTAGTTAGAATATGCATACTTTACCTCAAAAACTCAATCATTCTCTACCTCGTTACCTAAAATTAGATTTCAATTTCTATTTTTTTTAAATGAGTCCAGCCTTTGAAATGTGCACTGTGTGTGAGGTCCGAGCCAATGTTGAGCTGAGATACGGGGTGAGTTGAGGAAATGTGTTGATCACTGGATTAGTTTGAAACTATATGAATTTTATATCATTTTATAGAGCTTTTCAAGTTCTACATTTTGCTTCTTATCCGGTTTCAAAATTTTAAGATTTAAGCGAGTTATGCTCCTTCAAAGCTGCACAGCTACGTGGTGACGCCTGCCGACGGATAACGTATTCTAGTTCATTTCAGCCAATTAGTGATAATTGAAATTTTATATCATTTTGTAGAGCTTTCCAAGTTCTACATTTTGCTTTTTACCCAATCTCAAAATTCCAAGATCCAAGCGAGTTATGCGCCTTTAACATTACAGTGTATTTCTAGGCCGTCTGCTGCAACGCTTGCCGCATTTTCTTCTACCGTAACTTCCGTTCGCTGGACTTTCCATCCGAATGTCAAACTCCTGGGCAGTGTCAGGAGAACTGGAAATGGTGCGAGTATTGTCATTTCAAGCAGTGCGTGTCGGCTGGAATGCGTCCACCTCTCAAGTACTTTTTGGAGAGATAAGGATTGGTTGGCCGCGGTCTTCAATCCTAAATCATTCCTAAACCCTTTGTTGCTTTACCGTGATCTTAGAAAATCTAATCTTTTGATCTCCTTTCTATCCAGTATCCCAGCTTATATGTATCCCTGACATTTGAATCTGCCTAATCCTAGCTTTCTTACTTGATTGAAAATTACTGAACCCTTAAACTGCTTTCCACTAAAATCTCCATAGAGCGCATTTGCTACTATTCTAGATTGGTTTTACCTTCGTTTAGTCCCAATCCAAAGTTATCTAACCTTCAAAAAGGGATATTTCGATCTCTGTGTTCTTCGATTTTCACAATTTCAACCTAACTCTTAATTTTGAGCCAATTTATCTCAATTTCTGTGAATGATATCAAAAAGTGGTCAACTGACAGAACAATTTTGATTAAATGTTAAACATTTCATCAGTTGACCGTTATTGATATCTTACACAGGAAATGATATAAATTTGGTTCAATGTTGATGCTTTGGGGGTCATTCTAACAATGTGGGTTTGTCTTTTTTCCCTACCGATTCTTCTCTTCTGACCCTTATTATCACCAAGATTATTTTTTTTTGTTATCTATGTGACTTTATTTATTCTATGATGCAATTCCTTTAAATATGTGAATCTCGATGTTTCGCTCTTGGCTCCCGTTATCTGTTTAAATGAAAACCTCCTAAAGCTTCACTGTGGTGAAACCAAGGAACGTCTCCAGAAGACTTTAAAATCAAAATTTCGAAAAACTAAAAGTTCGGGCATCAACTAAGACACACTTCTGATCTATCTGTCCAGGTTTCAGCTCAATCGGTTAACTTTGAATGGGTTAAAGGGCGTGCGACATACATCCGGACATACAGAATTTGTTGAATGTTGTTAGTAATGATAATGATTATTTTTTTCCAATCGTCATATCTCAAAAACTAGAAAATCTACCTTTGGTTTGTAAGCTATCAAAATGTTCAAAACTTAATTATCTACCATTTATTAATTTATACTTTTGTGATAGCTCAATTAGTCTTTGAGATATAATTTGATACGCTTTATGTGCCTCTCCACCTTCCTCCTAGCGATATAAACTTCAAAGCGTTGTATCTCAAAAACTGAAAAAGCTACTAAACTGGTGTCAATCATTAAAACGTTCAAAATTTATAAATCTACATCTTTGTAATTTACAGCTTTTTGATAGTCAATTTAGCTTTTCAGATATGCCTTAAAAGTTATGGCGCGCTATTTGGCGCCATTCTCATTAGCCTCATCGGTCTATCCCTTTAATATGAGTAGTGTTGAATTCGTCATTTGCTCCGACTGAGTAGCTGAAGGCTAACATATCAATTCTGCGAATATCAAGCGAACCTCTCTTGGTTTTTTGCCTTTAAGTCAAGGCTTTAAGTTGTAATTGTAATATTCAAAAAGTAGGCACAAAATTCAGAGTGCATGACATATAAGACTTAGAAAACAATCTGTTAGAGGCTTCGATTTAAAACTTTTCCCATGAAAAGTGCATTCCAAAGAGCACCACACTTCGAACAACACCTGCTTGACGTGTCTACTTCTGAAAAATTCCTCTGCTTCTCTGTGCATCCTCAAACCTAGATATTGTGTCTGACTCTTATATCCTGCTCATTCCTTTTGCCTTTAGACTTCGACGCTTCTAAAAGAGCTAAAAAATGGAGGAGGACGTTGGAACGTGTGTGGTATGTGCCAGAACCGAAGTGGTCATCAACCCATGCTACAATGTAAGTCATCCTCTTTTTACAACGGTCCGCTACTCCGCTTTGAAGGGCACGTTAGAGCTGAAGCGTTATGAAGCAGCTAGCTAGCTTAGCTTAGCTAGGTAATAGCTTAGCTATATTCACTAGCTTAACTAAGTAATAGCTTAGCTAGGTAGTAGCTTAGCTAGGTAATATCTTAGCTAGGTAATAGCATAGCTAGATATTAGCTTAGCTAGGTAATAGGTTAGCTACGTTAGCTAGGGCTCAAAGTTGGCGGTTTGGATGACCTTCTAATAGAGTGGTTACGGTAATCTTTACTATTAACAAACACCAAATTCTGAGTGTGTGTGTCCCTTTGTTCACGGGTCGCCAACCCTAGCAAAGTCTGGACTGGACCAAAATGTTTCAAATTTACACAGATAATATGGAATAACATCGGGATGGTGCCCGTTTTAATTGATTTTGATAATATCGAAAATTTAGGTCATGAGACTACAAAAAACCTCTGTTTTGGGAACATTTAGGTTTTTTCTACTTTCAATGGTAGGTTGACAAGTTCACGAATAAATTCACACCGCCTGGCGGCGGCAATAATGTTCTGGTCTCAATTAAGCGCAACAGCATACTACATCGGACTATCTAACTTTAAATGTTCTTCAGGCGGAGTCTTGCGAAGCTTGCGTCTGCCTATTCCGAAGATATATCGATGACTTGAGAAGCTTGCCAAACCGCTGCGTCCCCAAGATGTGCACAGAATATCTGAAATGCCATTCTTGTCGATTCCAAAAATGTCTGGAAGTGGGAATGATAAACGCACCGCCGCCATATGAGAGATTTGTGGTTAAATTGAGGCGAGGAGGATAATTCGTACGTCTCCTTCTCTGGTTTTCTTGCTCCTCACCACCTGCTCTGCATATAATCCATATAAGAAGCCCTCCTCATGTGCTTCTCCTCAGCTGCTTCTTCTCTAACCGTCTGGGAAATCTCTCATTTGTGCTATTCACTCCAAAAATTTCAAAGCTTATTCAATTGCTATTATGATTGACAACTGCAGAGTGTGCAACCGATGGGGAAATCTTTTCTTTCAGTTCCAGGTGAGTTTTACAACTTCTAGAACCTTCTAGACCCTCGCCTTTTGGTTAAGGGCTTCTGACCTAGAATTATTGTGGACCAGGGTTTTTTCTAACGTAGTGGTTCTTGACTGACATGCACAGTCGTGAAACCTGTTAAGTTTGAGCTAATTTATCTTGGCTCCTACGCAAGATATCATAAATGTGTCAACTGATAAAATGTTTATCATAATATCAGTAACATTTTATCTGTTGACATCTTTTTGATATCTTTTACAAGAACCGAGATAAACTGGCTCAAATTAGGGGCTCTTCTATTACGGGCTTTGCGGTAGCTTCTAAGCTACAGCTTTTAAAACATGTGAGCTAGCAAGGCGGCCTAGCCACAACCTCGGCCACGACCCCAACACCCTGAACTCCTATTTTTCGAGGTGCACTGCTGCAGTCACTGCTACCGTAGCTTCCATCGTGCTTGTCTTTTCATGTCGAGACCCTGTCCACACAACAACGCTTGCTTCGAATTAGGCCTCAGATTCAAATGCCGTGGGTGCAGATTCAGAAGATGTTGGAATGCTGGAATGCGTCCCGATCCCGCCATGTTTGATGGGGATGCGATACGGAACAGACGACGTGGCTAAATGCGTTCTAGTGAACTCTAGCTTTTGAATATTCTTCTGTTCCATATAACTCCCTCTCGATTGCCCCTCTCGATTGTCTACCGTATTTCCTCCAATTAAACCGTCAACTTTAAGCTCAATTATCTCAGTTCCTGTTAATGATTAGAACAAATTGTCAATTGATTAATTGTTTATCATTATATCATAAACATTTTATCAGTTGACAAGTTTTTGATAACTTCCACAGGAATCGAGATAATTGAGCTCAAAGTTGAAGGTCTGAGTGGGCTTCTATTAGATGAAATACAGTCTTTCTCTTTTTTTTTTTGAATTTTTGTTGCAAGTTCGCTCTATTGAGAACACCTCTAAAAGATCAGCTGAGATCAGTGGATTCATTTCATTGACGTCCCAAACTGCACGGATACCAGCGATCGTTTTGATTTCCGACATGCACCTGGCCTGAAAATTGATTTTTACAGTAATTTAAAATTTTATAATCAAACAGATTACCTTTAACTGTGCTAAACCATATTTCACAGATAGTCCCAACTTTTTTCTAAGAATCTTTTTCGACGAATTCAACAGAAATTCTTGGCATCTTCTAATTACCATTGGTGTGTCATATAGTAATGTATTTGAAAAACTAAAGAAACACTATTCACTCAAAAACCAATGTAACCTGAAAGGATAAGACAGCAAAAACACACTGTATTCTATTAAACACTATTTATTGAATTTACTCAATAAACCATTATAAAACCTTTAAAACCAGTGAGCCACACTTTAACGGGTCGTCACCAATCGTGAGCGAACACCAGCGAAAACTAAAGAAAACGATGAGAATTTGCCGAGAGAGGAGACGCGTTTTGGCGCGCACACAGTTTCGCGCGCGGATACAGTAATCCACACCTCTTGCACGTGTGTTCGGGGGAGATTTCTCTCCTTTAGACTTGGAAAGAGGATTTTAAAAGAGAAAACACGGTAGAATACCGTACAATATTTATCAGCGACCATTAGAATTCCTTCGATTGTAGAATCTATGAAAAATATGATTTTTTTGAATAATAAAAAACTCGACGATACCATCAATGGCATATTCTCCGTATAAAACTTCCAAGAAACAGTGGAAATCATTCGGATCAATTCCTGTTAGCTCCACTTCTTTGGATCTTGAGGACTTTCCAAAAAGAATAGTCTTGAAATATATAGATTGGCCGGCGAGGTACTGAAAATTGAACTATAGCTACAGCAACCCGCAAACAGAGTTCGCGAACGTAGAAGTATTTTTTTTTTCATTTTCATTCCGAAAAACGGTATGCGTACGGTCCACATGTGGCTCCTATTTCAACAACGCGCGACCTGTTTAGTGACTCGGAAGTCTGGTTCAAGTTCGAATACTATCTCATTGCCTACGACCTTAAATTGCATTCACCCCCAAAGATTTTACTCGAAAAGGTTTCTTTTGAATTGCCTAAACCCCAAAAAAGTGTTTATGACGAAATGTTTGTGGCATCCGAGAAAACAGATGTGGTTCTTGTTGTCGAGGGAAAGAAGCTGAATGTGAATAAAACAGTAAGCGTCTGAATATTCTAGAAAGTTCCCGAATTCCAATTTTTCCAGTTCCTCTCCTTTCACTCCGACTATTTCTCTTTTCTCTGCGAATTTCAAGGAAGGGCAAATGAAAGAAATTGAAATCAAAGAAGTTTCTTATGAAGATTTTGGACTTCTCTGCAGTAGTTTCTATCCAAATCCACAATTTCCGAATGGTGAATCTATCTATTTTTATTCGAAAAAATCTTCATAAAGTTTCAGATAGTACTTCTGAGAAACTTCATGAGATGGCTAGCCGTTTTCAAGTGTCATCAGTTGTTGGAAACGTTGAATATCATCTTCTTAACAATTCAAAAATTGGATATGAGAGAATGTTATGGTTTGCTGATGAATACCAAATGCCGAAGCTTCTGGAGAAGTGTATCAGTCAAATGAACTCACTGGCGATGGCTAAGAAATTGGAGAAGTCTCCGGAATTCGAAAAGTTATCAGATAGAACTACACAGGTCCTGGGCGCGCATACGCATAATGGATGGGCGACGGAGGACGCGCCGATGAATTGGGTACAGGGAAAGGACGCCGGTATGGGGCATATACGGGGCATATGGGGCACACCGCCGCCGCAAAGCATCTCCTCGCCTGGCTTGCTGGCACTCGATGAAATGAACTAAAACGTTGGTTGGGGGTTCCTAGAAGTATCAGTTAAGTTCTATTGTGATGTGATTTTGTTCAGGTCTTCCGATTTCGTACTTTTCCTTTATTATTCCATATTCTTTTATATTTTGAACGACATATTACTGATTTTTCGGAAGTCAATGTTTTGATTTTGAAAAAGACTTATGGCAGTTTCCATTTAAATTTGATATGCAATCAAAATCAGAACAAAATGGGAAAAAATTCGCTAAAAATTGTTTTTTTTTTCATTTGTTCAAAAAATGTCTCACTTTCACTTTTTTGAAATTGCATGAAAAATTGAAAATTTTTATAATTTAAACTTTGTAATTATTGTATACTTACCAACTTACCTTTTACTCCACCTGAAAATACGATTTTTACAATAATTACAAAGTGAAATCAAAAAAAAATCTCAATATCACCTATTTTGGCGAAAAACATAGCAATTAACGAGTGAAAGACATGTTTCTGCAAGAATTCAGCGATTTTTTAGTCTGCCATAACTCTTTTTCACAAAAAAACATCGAAGGAATAATCGAAAAACCAGAAATGTAGGCTCGAATTGACGAAAAATTGACAAAGTTGCCGGTGTGGATTTACGGTAAACAATGGGCGCATCCGGGATTTCGGAGTGTTGTAGTCGGCCTGCCGTATCAGACCCATATCGCACACATCGCCTACCCATCCAGAATCCATCTAGGATACGCGCGCATTCGGAACACTCGATTCAGCCTCTCCCGCATCGCACACATATGAGACTCATCGCAGCTCGTTGTTCGCGGTATGTGTCAAACGGACTTCTAGAGGATCGCATATGGATCGGGTCCTTTATGCGCATCATCGCCCAGGACCTGTGTAGCTCGCTGATTTTCAGACAACTTTTGAAATCTCTCTGATGTTTTGTGATTTTTTTTAATAATTTTTTTGAAATGAAGTTTTTTATTTAATTACAGAAATAAATAGGAAATTTTCAGTTTTTATACAGTATCCAACATTTTTATACAGTATCCGACATGTGTTTTTTTCATGCGGTAATTCCAAAATTCAGAAGCATCTTGAAATGTTTCTTCACTTTTTAAATTCAAAATCTGGTTGAAATTTTCGATTTTCACTTTTCAGATGAAGACAGAAAAATAAAAACAAGCCCGAAAAACTGATAATGAAAATATTGATTCTTCTTATCAGTAACACAATTTTCTGCTCTCTTGCTAGCTCTAAAAATGTTGATTTCTCTTTTCATTCATATTTATTACTACTCGTTTGATCGTAAAAAATATTTTTCTCTTTCCTCTACGTTACAAGAGAATATGTCTTTTCGTTCTTGAAAACGGGACATAGATGGGTTCTGGTGGGCCTCCATTCTTTTCAAATCGAGTTTTCATTTTTGAGTTCATCGCTATATGTCGTTCACCCTTGCGTCTTCATCTAAAAAAAATTTTGAAAATAATATTAATTCCAGCCTCTTCTCTCTCCAGACTTCGACACAACAATGTCCGATAACTCTGCCCGCAAAATCACGGATGGCAGAGTAGGTGCTCAATACCTAGTTTCAAACAATTACAACGGCAATTTTGGAAACGCTGTCGGAGTCCCCTTGGATAAGCCACAAGGCAAAGCTTATCCCATTCCACCTGGTGACGGTCCCGTCAATACTACGGTGGTCACACGTCCAGATTTTCGCCGAACACCCAAAACTACACCCGTCCACAACAATTAGCCCATAATCATGCTTGAATATTGACAAATGTTAGGGTTTTTCCCCTTATTTTTTTGGTTCAGATAATAATTATTGAAAGAGGTTTTTTCCATAACACACGCTATGATTTGTCAACATTCTTTGAATTGCAAAATAAACATTTAATCATTGTTCCGTGTTTATGAATTCCTAGAAACGATATAAAAATTGAATCTGATTGAATCGTATACAGTGCGCGTCATAACTATAGGACACCTCTCCCAAATGAGTGATGTGAAAAAACCAAAAAAGATGACTGAATTTTGTGAACGCAGTTCGATTCAACGTGTGGAAAAACCTATGTCCACAAAATATCAGACCAATTGAGCCATTTTTATGCTCACAGGGCTGAAAATTCACTTTTTAGGCCGCGTCATAATTATAGGACACCCCTGGAAAATGAAAAATCTCAAGTTTTTAAGGGGAAACCTCTGTTTTGGGAACATTTAGGTTTTTTCTACTTTCAATGGTAGGTTGACAAGTTCACGAATAAATTCACACCGCCTGGCGGCGGCAATAATGTTCTGGTCTCAATTAAGCGCAACAGCATACTACATCGGACTATCTAACTTTAAATGTTCTTCAGGCGGAATCTTGCGAAGCTTGCGTCTGCCTATTCCGAAGATATATCGATGACTTGAGAAGCTTGCCAAACCGCTGCGTCCCCAAGATGTGCACAGAATATCTGAAATGCCATTATTGTCGATTCCAAAAATGTCTGGAAGTGGGAATGATAAACGCACCGCCGCCATATGAGAGATTTGTGGTTAAATTGAGGCGAGGAGGATAATTCGTACGTCTCCTTCTCTGGTTTTCTTGCTCCTCACCACCTGCTCTGCATATAATCCATATAAGAAGCCCTCCTCATGTGCTTCTCCTCAGCTGCTTCTTCTCTAACCGTCTGGGAAATCTCTCATTTGTGCTATTCACTCCAAAAATTTCAAAGCTTATTCAATTGCTATTATGATTGACAACTGCAGAGTGTGCAACCGATGGGGAAATCTTTTCTTTCAGTTCCAGGTGAGTTTTACAACTTCTAGAACCTTCTAGACCCTCGCCTTTTGGTTAAGGGCTTCTGACCTAGAATTATTGTGGACCAGGGTTTTTTCTAACGTAGTGGTTCTTGACTGACATGCACAGTCGTGAAACCTGTTAAGTTTGAGCTAATTTATCTTGGCTCCTACGCAAGATATCATAAATGTGTCAACTGATAAAATGTTTATCATAATATCAGTAACATTTTATCTGTTGACATCTTTTTGATATCTTTTACAAGAACCGAGATAAACTGGCTCAAATTAGGGGCTCTTCTATTACGGGCTTTGCGGTAGCTTCTAAGCTACAGCTTTTAAAACATGTGAGCTAACAAGGCGGCCTAACCACAACCTCGGCCACGACCCCAACACCCTGAACTCCTATTTTTCCAGGTGCACTGCTGCAGTCACTGCTACCGTAGCTTCCATCGTGCTTGTCTTTTCATGTCGAGACCCTGTCCACACAACAACGCTTGCTTCGAATTAGGCCTCAGATTCAAATGCCGTGGGTGCAGATTCAGAAGATGTTGGAATGCTGGAATGCGTCCCGATCCCGCCATGTTTGATGGGGATGCGATACGGAACAGACGACGTGGCTAAATGCGCTCTAGTGAACTCTAGCTTTTGAATATTCTTCTGTTCCATATAACTCCCTCTCGATTGCCCCTCTCGATTGTCTACCGTGTTTCCTCCAATTAAACCGTCAACTTTAAGCTCAATTATCTCAGTTCCTGTTAATGATTAGAACAAATTGTCAATTGATTAATTGTTTATCATTATATCATAAACATTTTATCAGTTGACAAGTTTTTGATAACTTCCACAGGAATCGAGATAATTGAGCTCAAAGTTGAAGGTCTGAGTGGGCTTCTATAAGATGAAATACAGTATTTCTCTTTTTTTTGAATTTTTGTTGCAAGTTCGCTTCATTGAGAACACCTGTCCTATAAACTGTAATCTCGATTACCTCTTCAGATTATTATTTTTGCAAATGCGCGCCAATGCACTCTCATCTCTTTAAAAATATCTCCAAAAACTCTTTCATATGCAAATTCGCTCTATTGTAAATCTGTGATTATTTAACCCCCAATGTCTCTCAATTTGTGATATTTTATAAATGAAAATCCTGATTTTGAATTTTTCTTAAAAATATATGGAATTTTTTCAGGTTTTTTAGAATATGTAAAACTGGAGTTTCTGAAAGTTTCAGATTCAAAAGTTTGATAAATTCAGAGTTTCAAATATTATAGAATCTGAAAATCAGGATTCAGAAAAAAATTGCAAAAATTCGAAACATCCAAAATGTTCAGGAAGTCACAGAGATTGTTCGGAAATTTTGAAAATTCGACAAAAACCTAAAATTCCAGAAATTCCAAAGACTTCAAGGAATCGAAAGAATTCTGAATTTCACCATTGTAAAGAGTTCCAAAAGTCTAGAAACTGCAAAATACCGTAAGCACTCTAATAGAAGAATATGAGATACATAGGCTCAAATTTGATAATTTGGGTTATGTTCTATTAGAGTGTTTACGTTATTCAGTAAGTTATAGAACTCCATAAATTTTGAAAATCCAGAAATTTCCAGACATTCAGAAGGGTGTTTACCAGCTGAGGAAGCTAAACCAAATTTCATTATTCCTACTACATAGTATCATCATAAAAATCCCAAAAACCCTGCCATCCTCTCCCCCTCAAGATTCACTGATCAGCTCCGTCTGCTACTTCTCACACTATCTCTTCTCTGCGTCTCTCTCCTTCCCACACTATTTCCACTCATATTCCATGATTCTTCTTCTTCTTCTCAAGATCCATCCAGTTGGAAATCAGTGTAAAAATGCCCTCTCAACCTTCTTCTTCTTCTTCTTTCCGCCTCATTTTCTTCTCCCAAAATCCTTCTTCTTTTTGCCAGAGGAGAAGAAGAAGAAGAAAAACAACAACCGACTCATTTTCCTACACATCTTGCTTACATGTTTTGGATTTTTGAATTTGGCGGCATTTTTTTTTCTTGGGTGTTCAAGAAAAAGGTGTTTCAGACAGTAATAACTATAATAGAAGCCCACCCTATACTTGCACTTTGAGCCTAATTATCTCGGTTACTGTAAAAGATATCAAAAAATGGTCAACTGATTAAATGTGTAAAATTTTATGATAAACATTTTGTCAGTTGACAACTTTTTGATATCTTTTATAGAAGCTGAGATATATTAAAAGTTAAAAGTTAACGGCTCAGTTTTTTGTGAAGAAAAGTTAGAAGCTCTGAAAAGCTTGATCAAAGTTGTCCGAGCACTAGAACTTTTCTACTCTTTATTTCTCACAATTCATACAACTTTACTTTCTCTTCCAACACTAGGCCACGGCCCTCATATACCGTAAAACCTGTATTAGAAGGGCCGATCTACTTTTCGTGAAGTCTCTAGGGGCCTTTCTAATACAGGTTTTACGCTACAAATCCTTCTAGGTGCTTCAAATATGGTCGACGACGAAGAGGACATTGTGTGGATTCGCGAAGACGCGCCATCCGATCCAGTGTCCCCAACCACCCCAGCCACTATCATAGAAGCTGCTCCGATCCTTTCCGACGCTTTCGACAAGCCGATTCTGAAAGCGTCGGGTCCTCCAGAGGTCACAATTTCGGCTCCACCGCTAACACCGCCAGTGGAAGTTAAGGCATCCGATGTGGAGGTGTCAGGAGTCAAAGTGTCTGCTCCAGAAGCCAAGCCCGCCGATCTTCCAGAAGTGTCTGCTCCGGCTCCAGAAGTTCCAGATGTTCCAGAAACCAAGCAAGCTGAATCGTCGGCTCCAGAAGTGCCAGAAGTCAAGTCCGCTGATGTTCCAGAAGTTTCTGTTCCGGCTTCAAAAGTTCCAGCAGCTGCTGAAGTCAAACAAGCCGAATCTTCGGTTCCAGCAGTGCTAGAAGCAAAGCCTTCCGAATTTTCAGAAGTGTCTGTGCCTGCTGCAGACGCTCCAGAAGCCAAGCCAGCTGAATCATCGGCCCCAGAACTTCCAGCTGCTTCTGCTCCAGAAGTCACCGTCTTCCACGCCCCCGAACCTCCCCGAATCGAATCTGTGCAATTCGAGGAGACCAAAAAACCCGATCCAGACATCTTATCGCTCAAGCTAGACCCAAAAACCCCAAACTCCGTGGATGATAACAGCATGAGTTTCGATATCAGTAAGATTTTTTTTTGAAAATTTGAAACCCCGCCAAATCCCAAAATCCAAAATTTTCCAGGCGAGTGTGAGCGCAAATTCAACAAAGCCGTCCAAGAAGCGTCTGATATGTTGGAAGATTTCGATAAAAAATCCAAAGCGGTCGTGGAGAATACAAAATTTGTAGCTAAAGAGTTGAGTGACCGAGGAAATTCTAGGCCAGCCTAACCCAAAATTTTCAGACTCGCCGAACTAGCCGCTTCTGCCCCAAGAGTCTTCCAAAAAACTATCGATGACCATTCACAGGTTCCTGAAGTTTCTGAACTTCCATCCGGAGGGTAGGTCACCAGATTGCTCAGCTTAAAATTCTCTGAATTGCTCAGCCTTCCCAAAAACGTGGAATCCGTTCTGATTGGTGAGGGAATTCTGGAAGAGATCACTGGAACACTGGTCCTTCCCAATGGATATGTTCTTGTTACGGACGAGCGTGCTGGAATTATAGCTTTCGATTTGGAGGGAAATGTTAAGACTAAGGTTTGACGGGCGGCGGGTGGCGGGAATTCAAAATTTTCAAAAAAAACCATTTTCAGATCAATCCACCCGAATTCCGAAAGCTATGGAGTCCGGTATACCACAAGGAGCATATACTTGTAAGGACCTTTTTAAAAAATTTTAAAGTTAAATTCGCTCTTCCGAACCCTAATAAAACTTCCAGGTGCTCGCCGACGCCAAGAATTCAGAAGACCATTGGGTGCGTCACGTCATCAAATTCACTTGTCAGCTAGAATACGTGGCAAAGATCGAATGTCCGTCTTGGCTCTCAGAATGCACGATTTTGAGAGAAAGGCTTAGCATTGCACACAACGATCACTTGTATCTTTGTGTTTGTGGAGAGGTAAGTGCGCTCTATTGGATTGGAGTATTTGAATGGGTGTAACTGGCTTTAAACCGGATGTTTTCAAATTCGCAAAATATCATCTTGTAGAACTTTTTAAAAGCTAAATTTTCCAATTTTAAGTAATCAAAAATATTAACTTTGAAGAGAGTTGTGACTGTTTCTGTAGAGCGCGATTTCATTTTCGTTGGTTCTTGGCGCTCCCCCATTTTCATCGGCTCGTTCTCAAAAGTTTCACTTTCTAATCCAATTACATTTTATATCCATTTGTGATGCTTTTTAAGACCTACATTTTGCAATTTGAATCAATTGAATATATTGATTTTGAAGAGAGTTACGACGTTTTCCGTAGAGCGCACTATTACACAATAAGCGACTTTATATGATCCTCAGTTTCGACAGGTAGTTTTCAAAAGTCACTTTTTTAAATGTAGTCTAGTTTTATGTCATTTTGTGAAGCTATTCAAGACCTACATTTTGCAATTTAAATCGATTGAAAATATTAATTTTCAAGAGAGTTACAACAGTTTCCATGGAGCACGTATTCATTTTCAATAGTTCCTTGTGGTAGTCGACTTTCATCGGCTCCTTCTCAAACAACAAAATATCACATCTAACAGAAATTTATATCATTTTGTAAAGCTTTTTTAGCCCTACATTCTACAATTTGAATCAATTTAAAATATTAATTTTGAAGAGAGTTATAAGAGTTTCCGTGGAGCGCGTTTTCATTTTACTGGCTCTTTGCGGTCTTCAATATTTCAAAAAAAAAAAACTCAAATCTATTCTAAATTTATACCATTTTGTAGAACTTATCAAATTCTGTATCTTACAATTTAGATCAATTAAAAATATTAACTTTGAACAAAGTTAGACTTGTTTCCGTAGAGCGCGTTTTCATTTTCGATAACTCGCTCTTTGTGAACGTCCACTTTCATCGGCTCCTTCTCAAAAAAACAAAAATTCGGATTTAGTCCGATGTTATATCATTTTGTAAAGCGTTTCAAGCTCTATATTTGACAATTCGAAAAAACCGTAAATATTAATTTTGAAGAAAGTTACAACAGTTTCCATGGAGCGCACTTTCTCACTTTTCAGATTTTCTCCGGAATCTACGAGCTCACTCCGATTGGACAATGGACAGAGCTCGAGTATAAATTATCAGAAGCCTATGTTGATATGTTAGCATTTGCCACAATTGGTCCAATTACTCAATTGTTGGTTGTTGAAGGTGGGACATCTGGACAAACCGAGGTACAGTAGGATTTTCAGGTCGTCGAAATTACGTTTTGCTGGTTTCCGTACGAGAATCCAGAATTGTGGACAAGAAACGAATGGCGATTTGCGAACGACCGGGAGCACTAGCCAGAGATGAAGCGGGTGAGCAAGTGCGCTCCAATGATACTGCCAATTTTGAGCCAATTTATCTCGGTTCCTGTGAGAGGTATCAAAAAGTGCTCAACTGATAAAATGTGTATCTTGGAATTTTACACATTTTATCAGTTGAACACTTTTTGATATCTCCTTTAGGAAACAAGATAAATGGGCTTAAAGTTAGGTGTCCGGTAGAGCGCACTTTATAAACTGAAAAATTTAAATAATTTTTACAGGCCGCCTATTCGTGGCGAATCGGTTCTCGGCGAGCATTCAATTGGTGGATACGATGCTTTGGGTGTCCGAGAAGAATGTGGCAATTACTGAGGCGTTTGTGAGTTTGCGAGTGGTAGGGCGGGAAATTTGAATTTTTTGAAAAATGTAGATTTTTTAGAATTCTCAAAATTACATTTTTCTAAAATTCTGAAATTTTCGACTTTTCAGAAAAAAAAATTTGTTTTCTCTAGAATTTCAAAAGTTAAAAATTCAAAAAAAAATGTGAATTTTTCGAATTTTTCAAAATTTTGGAATTTTCTGAAAAATTGTTATCTAGAGTTTTCGATTTCTACCAGAATTTTATTAATTAAAATTCGAGAAAAAATGATAATTCTGAAAATTTTCAAAAGTTAAAAAACCCAAAAAAAAGTGAGATTTTCGAATTTTCGAAGAATTTTCCACAATTTTTTAAATTCTTAATTTTTAAAAAAGTTTTAAAGAATCCAAATTTTTTCAGGTCCGTCACTTCACCGCCTGCTGGGGTCTTCTGGCGATTCCACTGAAGAACGCCGTACGTCTTCAGAGATACTCTTTCCGTTCTCTTCGCTGAATATTAATTTTTTGGATTTTTTAATAATTTTTTTTGAAAAATTCAATTTTTTGAAATTTTGAGTTTTCCAGAATTTCTAAAATCCAATTTTTTTCGAAATTTTCAAATTTTTATGTGATTTATGGGACAAGAATTCCTGGGATTTGAAAAAAAAATAGAAGAAGTGCACACAAAATGAAATAAATTAGGGGTCAAAATGGCCAAAAAATATGAAAAAGGGCCAAAAAATGGGGGACCAAAAATTATGGATTCCCTCCGTCTTCTCGTTTTTTCGATATCTTCGTCTGATCGACTCTCTTCAAGTGTCCCGGACTTGTCACATCGATTTTCCACGCCAAATTCTTCAGGTCGCTCGCCAGATTCATCAGGAGGATTCTGAAGAAATTCAGAATTTAAAATTGCAAAAAATCCAAAAAAAGGCATATTTTTGGCTGAAAATTTCAATAGAAAGCAAAAAAAAATTAGAAAAAAATCCGAAAATTTCGAGAAATTTCAGCGAAAAATGGAGATTTTAAGGTCCATGAAATTGTTATTTTTCAGAATTTTTCTGTTTAAAAAACTGAAAAATCTCGAAAACGAACACATTTTGAATCTAAAAATCAGGTTTTTTTTTGAAATTTGAGCAAAATTTTAAGATTTTTTTTCCATATTTTTTAAGAAAAAATCTAGAATTTCCCAGAAATTGTCAGCGAGAAACGGAGATTTTTGGAACTATAAAATTGGATTTTTCGGAATTTTAAAATTGCAAAAAATCCAAAAAAAGGCATATTTTTGGCTGGAAATTTCAATAGAAAGCAAAAAAAAATTAGAAAAAAAATCTGAAAATTTCGAGAAATTTCAGCGAAAAATGGAGATTTTAATGATCATAAAATTGGAATTTTTCAGAACTTTCAAAAATTGAAAAAATAAATTTTTTGCACTTTTTCCCCGAATTTTCAGCTTCGTTTTCAGATTTTTCAGCTTTTTTCTATCAAAAATTCGATTTTTCATAACTTTTCCAAAAGTTGAAAAATCTAAAAGTCGTTATTTTTTCGGAATTTTCAGATTTTTTTTCACAAAAAATTAGACTTAAAACCCACTTATTCGCCTCGAACTTCATATATTTCTGATGGAGTGCTTCTGGAATCCAACGTCCCTGATAGAAGACGTCACCGTCGTTGGGCTGCGTCGCCGACATGATTCCTGGGTATTCTGGAATCGATTTTTCACATTTTCAGCGTTGAAAGTTGCTCATTTTACGCCAAAAAACCACAATTTTGAGCCATTTTAGACAGAAAACTATCAAAAATTCAATTTTTCCGGGAATTTTCAAATCCAAAAAACTTCTTCTCTGACTTTTCAGGCAATTTTTTTGGCATATTTTCGGTTATTTTTGCACCTAAAAAATTCACAAACTTCTCTCCAGCTCGGCGCGTTTCTCTTTCCTCTTCTCATCCATCGGTTTCTCCAATTCCGAATCGTCCAACATCATCTCGATATAGTCATCGCCTGTCAGCCGTTTCCACTCGGGCGGCCGGCGTTTCTCGATGATTACGCTGAAAAATGAGAATTTCAGGGGCAGAAATGAGCTTTTTCTTCAGCCACAAATAGCGATTTTCAGCTCAAAATTAGCCTATTTTCAGCTATTTTCAGATTTTTAAAGAGAAAAAACTGAATTTCATGGGTTAGAAAATGACTTTATAGAGCTCAAAATTGACCTCAGCCCGAATTTTAAGGTTTTTCCAGATCAAATTTGGTTCATTTTTGACCCATTTCAAATCACTTAGAGCGAAAATAGCCATTTTCAGCCCAGTTTTCTTTTTTTTTCAATTCGAAATTAGTCCATTTTTGACCCATTTTCAGAATTTGCCTTTTTTAGCTCAAAGCCGGTTTCTTTTTCAGCCAATAATAGTCATTTATCAGCCAAATTTTAGGTTTTTATACAGCGAAACTGGTCTATTTTTTACCCATTTTCAGATTCTTCAGCTCAAAATCGGCCTATTTCGACCCGTTTAAAGCCCCTTTCCAGCCCAGAACAGCCCAATCCTCACCGAATTTGCACCATTCGTTCCAAATTTTGTCGACACCTCGCCGCCACCTCAGCCGGATTCTCTCCATCGGCTGGTGGTCGACGATCCATCACTCTTTTGAGCAACAATGAGAGAGACGACGTTCTGAAAATTGCAATTTTCTAGAAATTTCTAGAAAATATTTTGAAAAATTGAGCAATTTTAGACTTTTTTCAGCTCAAAACTCCATAATAATTGGTCTAAAATGCTCATTTTTCCTGGAATTTTCAGCTGAAAATTTTCCAAATTTTGACCTATTTTCTGAAGAAAAACCAGCCAATTTTGCTGATTTTTAGTTCATTTTTCTGGAATTTTCAGCTGAAAATCTGCCAATCTTGGCCTGAAACCTACTTATAGTTAAGCTCATTGACAAGATCCCGTCCATATTGACACAGCTCTCCCGTCGTCAATTTGTTCAGATCCGTCTCCTTGTGACGTGGCGATTCTCGAGGAATCGTCAGTTGATTGGCAAACAGTGACGTGGCTTCCTGCAAGAAAATCGGGCTGAAAATGACTGAAAATGGCTGAAAATCCGTTGAAAATTGTCAAAAATTAATCTGAAATCGCTCAAAAAATTGTGTCTTATTTGTCGAATTTTTGGAACTTTGAGAGCATTTTCAGAGCAATTTAAAGCAAATTTTCAAAATTTTGAAGCGAAAATTTGAATTTTTTCATTAAATTAAATTAGACAATTCCTCGTATTGCTTTTTGTTTCAATTTCTTGAACAGGAGTTAATATTAAAGGTGGTGTACGGTGAAATTTTTTATTGCATCAAAATGTGCAGAAATGCATGTAGATTGACATAAAAATAAAGAAAAAATTCAAAAAAAATTCCTTCGGCGAGAAAAACGCATCGAAAAATACGTTGAAAGCCCTTAGGGACGAGCTTTATTCTAGGCCGCCCGGTGAGTAAAAGCGCGCGAATTCAAACTTTTACAATTTTTTCGCTCGTTCTCACTGTTTTTTTCGGTTTTTTCAAGAGTTTTCTAGGTTTTTGTCAATTTTTCTTCCAGATACATCGGAAAATTTGAAAAAACAGTGAAAACGAGCGAAAAAATTGTTTAAAAGTTTGAATTCGCGCGCTTTTACTTACCGGGCGGCCTAGAAAAAAGCTCGTCCCTAAGGGCTTTCAGCGTATTTTTCGATGCGTTTTTCTCGCCGAAGAAATTTTTTTTTTGAATTTTTTCTTTATTTTTATGTCAATCTACATGCATTTCTGCACATTTTGATGTACACCACCTTTAAAATATTTCTTCCGGACATAACTTTTTTAGCTTTTCTAGAAGGCTACAAACTACAAAAAATTAGTATTCCATTCACTAGCTAACCTGTCTCATCGCCGAATTCGCCGAGTGTGCCGACGACGCGGATGGCGGGAATCCTTGAGTGGGCGGAGCCAGATGAAGTGTGGGCGGAGCCTGTTGAGCCGCAGCGGCATGTTGCTGGGCAACAGCGGCCTGAGCAGCAGCCTGTTCGGCCTGAAGTTGGGCGGCCCGAGTAGCCTGTTGCTGTTGGAAGTGCTGTTGTTGCTCGAGATAGGCTGCCTGCGCGGCCATCAGTTGACGATTTTGGATGTTGGTCAGTTGAAGAGCCTCAAACTTGGTGTTTATTAGTAAGGGGGCGGGGCTTAGGGGGTTTTTAAAGGGACATAAAATTTTTTCAAACTTTTGGGTTTATTTTTTGAGTCCAAAAACTTCTAAAAATCCCAAAACTCACCTCATAACTATTATTAGGCACCTGCCTTCCACTGGCCGTCACCATTCCACCGCCTGGAGCTTGATGCATAGCTCCGCCCATCGCTCCGCCCATCACTCCTGGATACGCGGGTTGTTGTTGGAGGAGTTGGCTGAGATGGGACGGCTGCTGTGAGGGTTGTGGTGGTGGGAGTGGAGCTGAGGAGAGGTGTTGAGCCAGAATTGAAGTAGATGGACCCGGTTGTTGCTGGGGAGGAGGAGGTGCGTAGTGACCTGGCATTCTGAAAGCAATTTTGGGTGAATTTGGGGTCATTTTTAGACAGTTTTAGACCATTTTTAGACCATTTTAGTTTGAAAATTGGTTTTAAAAATTGGTCTAAAATAGTCTAAAATAGTCCAAATTTGGTCCAAAATTGGTCTAAAATAGTTATAAATTGGTGTAAAATAGTCCAAAATTGGGCTACAATAGTTCAAAACGGTCTAAAATAGTCTAAAATTGGTGTAAAATAGACCAAAATCGGTCTCAAATAGTCCAAAATGGTCTAAAATAGTCCAAAAATTGTTCAAAATGATCAAAAAATGCTCTGAAGTTATTTTTTAAAAACTAAAATGATTAATCATCATTTTGAATCGTTTTAGACTTTTTTAGGCCATTTTAGATGTTTTTTGAGCAGTTTGAAACTATTTTTGGCTATTTTAAACAATTTTTGGACCGGTTTTAGACTATGTTAGATCATTTTATGATCTTTTCAGACATTTTTGAATCATTTAGGACGATTTTTTAGGATTTTTGGATATTTTTGAATCATTTTAGATCAATTTAGGGTCATTTTCGGACCATTCTCGACGAGTTTTTGGAAATTTTAAGAATTTAAGACCATTTCAGGATCACGTATGAACCACTTTTGAACATTTTAGGACCATTTCAGACTAGTTTTGGCCGAATTTGGACAATTGTAGAACACTTTAGACGATTTTTGGGCAATTTTAGACCATTCTAGTGCCATTCAAAATCATTTCTAGACCATTTTTCTAGACAATTCCGGATCCTTTTAGATCATTTTAGGCTGCTTCAAACGACTTTCGGCTTCTTTTAAACCATATTTGGAGTGTTTCAGCCGATTTTCAGTCAATTTTCAGTGATTTTTGACCTATTTTCCCAAAAAACCCTTACCCTGGCCGCGTATCCCCACTCAAATCGATTGGCATTCCTCTTGTTCCGAATCCAGGCGGATATCCACCAGCCATTCCGAATCCTTGCGGTGGTCCTTGTACATTTCCAGCACTTCCCGACGGTCCGACACCGTATCCAGCATCACCCCATGATGGTTCGGGCTTGACTGAAGATGCTTTCAGGGGATTAGAAATGGGTTAGAATGCTAAGAATGAGCAATGAAAATGAGCTAGAATTTGAGTTCAAAAAGCAATTGCGCTCTACCGAACAACCCACCCCACCAACCCTACTTTGAGGCAACTTATCTCAGCTCAGGTAAATGATATCAAAAGTCTGTCAACTGATAAAATGTTGCTAATATTCTGATAAACATTTTATCAGTTGACAACTTTTTGATATCTTCTACAGTAACCGAGATAAATTGGTTCAATGTTGAGTATTCGGTAGAGCGCACTTGCTGAACTGAAACATTTGAATGTTCTTTAGTCATTGTAGCTCATTTTCACCCGTTTTTCCCCATATTTCAAGAGAAAAAAGCCAAAAACCCACTTCTAACATTCATAAAATCGGGTGGAATCCGCGGATCAGCACCTCCAGGTCCTCCTGGATACTGTGGCTGGGGCATTTGTCCGAATGGATGGGGCACGCCGGCTTGATACATGGGGTAATTGCCGAATGGAGGCATTCCTTGTGGCGGGAAATTCGGGTTTACACCGCCTGGATAGTTGGGATTCTGACCGGGTGGGAGACCTCCAGGGTAGTTGTGATGAGGATTCTGGTTGGGGTTCATTCTGAAAATTGGTCGAAAAATTGGGATATTCAGCTTCAAAAATGCAATTTTTGAGCGATTTTTCACATCAAAATTGAGTGAAAATCGGAAAATCAGAAAAAATTTTTGCTATTTTTCTGGATATTTGAGCAAGATTTCGAAATTTTCAGCTTCAAAAATTCAATTTTTAGTTTTTTCCAGCTTTAACAATGCTTTTTTTGTAGATTTTTGACATGAAACAGCAAAAAATCAATTTCGGAAAATTTTTTTTTTAATTAAATTTTTCAAAAATCCTGTTTTTTTCTCGAAATTTTCAGCAATTTTTGAGATTTTCAGCTTCAAAAATCCAACTCTTGAGCGATTTTTCAAGATTTTTCACATGAAAATTAAGCGAAAAATCGAGTTTTTAAGTTTCAAAAACATAAATTTTGAGTTTTTTTTTTCGAAATTATAGCCGTTTTCGAAAAATTTTTCCAAGGAATTTTCGAAATTTTCTGCTGGAAAATTTAATTTTTGACATTTTCAGTTAAATAAAATTTGGTAAAATTTACGGAAAATTTCTCAATTTTTTGATGTAAAAAATTGCGATTTTCAGTAATTTTCAAAGGAGTTTTGAGATTTCAAATTTCAAAAAAAAATAATTTTTCAAATTTTTTGAGATTTTCAGCTTTGAAAAAAGTGCTAAAAAACTGAAAATTATTGATTTTTTTTTCAATTTTCAACTTTAAAAACTGATAAAAAACCAGACTTTTTTTTAAATTTTTCGATTTTTAGCTAACTTTTTTCAATTTTTTAAAACCAATTTTCAGATATAAAAGAGCGATTTTCGACTCGAATTTCCACATTTTTGTGCAATTTCAAACCGGTTTATATGGATTTTTTCGAGCAAAATTGGGTTAAACGAGATGAATTCATATGAATAAATCATGGAAAGAAATACATGTATCAGTGGGAAAAATGTGTGAAATTTAGGAGAAAAACGGAAAATCTGTGGGGATAAAGGAGATCAAAAATAAGGAATTTGAAGGGAAAAAATAGAGAAAAATCGGTGGAATTTTGATGATTTTATAGCTTAAAAACCGGATTTTTAGCATCAAAATAGACAATTTCCAGCGAATTTACAGCTAAAAAATCGAAAAAATGAAGATGTAAAGTGGATTTTTAGCATGAAAATAGATCATTTTCAGTGCTCCATCGCCTCCGCACCAGCCGCCTTCATCTCCTTCACACACATGATTTGGCCTCGAAAAACGCGGCGACAACCGCAGCCAATTGTGTCTCATTTGAGCATCCAGTCGACAGATTCTCCTCGACTTCTCCTAATCCAACGATTATTGCAGACATCGCGGAATCCGGAATATCCATAGAGAATGCCAAATCGTGTAAATGAGTTATCACATCCTGCAGGGCGTATCCATTCTCAAAGAGGCTCTTCTTGATCTTATTCATACAGGTTTTGGCGGTTTGATTCAGCAGTAAAGTCACAACCTTCTTCATTTCCGCCGGCGTCGGCTGCCCAATACACTGGTATACTGTAGACTCGGAGACCACCTCAAATGACATTGCAGTGGATTGAAGGGTGTTGATTACAGTACGCATGTCTCCTTTGGAAACTCTCAACAGCGCTTCTCGACCGTCTGGTGTCATCTGTAATCCTTCAGATTTGACGATGAAATCGAGACGGGGGACGATGAGTGATTGGTCGAGAGGGGCGAAACGGAAACGGGTGCAACGGGATTGAATGGCAGGGATAATGGAGGCCAGATAGTTGCATATGATGCAGAAGCGCACGTTGTCGGTGTACTTTTCGATTACTCTGGAAACTTTTTTTTTGAAAATTTCAACAGAAATCTATGTAGATTCTCATAAAAAATAAGAAAAAATTTTAAAATGCTAAAAACCGCATCGAAGTGAGGG